CTGTTGCTATTTATTAATGTGTTATTCTATTCCCTATGCACAAACCAAGTCAGAGCCTGAAACCAGAGGTTGAAAAACTTGTTTTGACTATTGTTGAACCCATGCATGTTGTAGAATCTGATATGAGCTCAGTTATCATTAGGTTTGCATTCAGTGAAGAAGAAAGGCTTGGTGGAGGGGAAAAAACATAGTAGAGAAAAAAACATAAGAGGTACAAAAATGGAGCAGAATGTCTGATAACTAGGTTATCAGACCAAAAAAAAGGAGTAAGGGGATGAGAAAGACAAAAACAAATCTAATGAAAATATGAACTTGCAGTGGGACAAATCTTGGGGTCAGCATTCCTGGCAGCCTCACAGTGATGAGCACTGTATGATAGGAAATATTATCTGGCAGAAATGTTTTCAACCTAACACAGCCAAATAATTTCTGTATGTCCTTAGTCAAAAGATTTAATCTGCCAGGTCCCTCATCTGTCCCTTATCAGATAAGGGCAGACATTTCTTCCCTAAAAGGGAAAGGAAGAATTGTGAAGAAAATTCAACGAGTAGTTATGGCTGTGTGAAGATGTTCAAGAAGCCTGCGGTGGAAGCGCTCTAACTTTTGAACTTTACTCAAAGGGTCCCCCCACTGTGTTTAGGTTGGAAGGAAGCAGTCCTTGTGGGAGGGAGAGAGGAGGAGCCTGCCCACATGGCCTGATCGCAGCAGGTAGGGGTAGTTCTTGCATGCCTCCCAGAATGCCCTGCGGGCTCCCCAGGTTGCCAAAGACTCCCAAAAGAAGGTGAATGGCTGAGCCACCCCTGACTGGCTGGCAGAGACATGACAGCCAACCACCTGCACCTGATGAGGCAGTGGCTTGTCATGGCCACAACCCATCAGCAGCCATTCCATGCAAGCCTCCCCAACATGCCCTGCAACTGCCAAGTGGGTTTTTGTGTGTCATACACACACACATATGCAGAACCCAGGCATCCTGGACACACACACACACACACACACACACACACATGCAGACACACACACGCAGACACACATGCAGACACACACACACACACACAGAACCAAGGCATCTAGGGCATAGCTGGGACACTGACTTTCATACAGCTGAGGAGGACAATGCCCATCTCTTGTGCAACTTCCCATTCCCCAGGGTGATTGAGTGTGGGCACTACATTCCCAGGGTTCCTGAGTTCATCATCAATGAAATCATCACTTCTCCAATCCTTGAGGTCCTGGCCTACCCCTTCCTACCCTGGCTTATGAGGTCCTATGGGGGGGCAACTGGACTGCCAGAAGGAGCACTTCAATTACAAACTGGGCTTAGCACTGCAAACACATGCGATGCAGGGGTGGGGGAAAGGATGAGCCCCACACAGCAGCAGGCTACCCAGATCTGTGAAGCTCTGGCTGACCTCCTTCTCACCTGCATGGACCAGGAACCCTCCTCGGATAAGTACGGCTGGAGGACTTTGAATGCCTATGCCCTGGCATGAGGCATTAGGTCTCCTGCTATGGGGTCCTTTGGCCCTGCCTCATCTGCACCACTGCCCACAACTCAAGCTACCTGGGAACTGTCCCCCTTCCCCATGCCCTCCACCCCAGGGTATAGGGAAACGAGGCATGAGGAAGAGATGTGGTTCAGTTTAAAATGTTGCGCTTGCAAAACCTTTCCTGTGTTTATTAAAGGAAACCTGTTAAACACTGCCCATTTCTCAGCTTGGTTCCTTCTCCCAATTAACACAAAACAGCAAACCTTTGGCAACACAGGGGGGAGTGGGGGTTGAGAATAGGGTGACAGAACGTGGAAGGAGTTTGGGGCCAGGGGGAATGCCGCAGGGCCTGAACTCAACAAATGTGAAACCTGGTTGGCAAGGCATGGGGCAAGGGACTTTTAACCTGGCATCCTACTTTCAGGGGCCTGCAATATGTACAAACTGGACAGTTGCATGATCCCAGACCCATTTTCTGTCTGAGAGAGCTGCAGGCTGGGACACATCACTGCAGTGGGTTCCAAAGACTGCTGGCCCTCCCACAAGGGACCCCCCAGTCCCTTGGCCTGCAACATCATGTCTTCGCTTCAAGGATCACAGACCTATGGCCCTTGCCAACACCTGAGGTTATGACAGGCAACTGGCCTGAATCGGGGGTCTGCTTATCCCCACCTAGGCTGTGCCACTCCCTAACCGTGGGGCCCAGGCTAGAAGTGGGTACATGGGGAGTGGAAGCACTCCCCCCTGGACCTCCCAGCTGGGGGAGGGGGGTAGATGAATTGGAACCACTGGTCTCTGCTGCCAGAAGCTGCCCCAGTGACCATCTGGCCCAGAAAGCTTGTGGGCTGCACTCTTCTGCCTGTTGTGAGCACTTCTGCACCCCTTTGGGACTAGCCTGGACCCTCTTAGTGGGCCTGTGGGTTGACTGGAAGCAGTCCAGGACTATGTACATTAACTCTATATCCTAGTCCTGAATCTAGTCGGTGAACTTGGCCAGTCTGCTTCCGATGCCAATGTCCACATCATTAATGAAGATTTTGAATAGTGCGGGCCCAAGGACTCCCAAGGGGGGCCTTGAGGGACCCCACTGGTCACAGGGCACCACAACGATTGACTTCCATCAACCACCACCTTCTGGGTCTGATCATGGAGCCAATTCTCCAGCCAGTGGATTGTGGTGAAGCTGAGGCTGCAGCTAGCTTCAGAGGCTTAGGGCCCCGACTCCTGCATCACCTGACCTCCGCTGCTCAGGTCACCTCAGAATATTGAAAATGTCTAGGGGCTTTCAATCGATGGCCTGCAATTCTGCCAGTGTCATACACCCCCCAGGCTGTAAAATTCAAGGGTCCATGGCCCACATGGTCCCTTACGTTCCAGAGTTGAGTGTGCTCACCCTGGCTTGGAGGTTCAGTGCCTCCCCAACCACATCCTCCCCACACAGAATTACCTAGTTGATGGTCTGTTAGCTATCTGATCAGTGATCAAGAAGAGGGGGAGTCAGTCTGCACCAAGTGAGAATAAAGGACATGACAGGAGACCCTTTCTTCCAAAACAAAAAAAAGGAGGGGAAGCGAGGGGATGGCAAATATTTAGGGCCCAACTCAGCCATCCTTACTTTACACTCTAGTAACATGGAGGACTTCAGTGTACTGGATTCTATTAGTAGCATGTTATCAATTTCAATCCCAAATAGTACTTGCCAAATGTAATTAGTGCCAGAAAAAGTAAAGGTGAAAAAAATGAAATCTATCTACAGTCCCTGTTTTGGGATTTCAATATAAATATAGATGTCACAAGTGAAGAAGCACAAGGCACTACACTGTCAAGTGGTTGTTCTGCATTATTATATATTTATTGTGATGTTTAAAAGATAAATAAATACATCTAGATATGTAGTTTGGAAACCTGAGCAAAGTAGAAAGTTGGAATGACTTGTGGTGACATGCTGTATGGAGAGGCATGAGATTTTAAAAGGAAGAAGATTATGGAGGAGGTCTGAAACAGAGATAAGGAGAAATCATCTCCTTTCATTACTTTCCATCATCTGCAGCTGTAACCCTTCAACAAGAGAGAGAAGCAGAACTAGTCTAGTGTGGGAACCAAAAGGTTCAGACCCACTCCAATGCAAACACTTCCCCATGCACCTAAATTAAAAATGTCATATTTAAGGCTTTATGCCTTCTGTATATGAAAGTGATTGTTGAATGAATGAGGCACAGAGAGTTTGGTCAGGAGTCAAGAAGTAACCTATGCCTCAGGCAAACACAAACTTGGTTTGAACAAGACACTGTTTGCATCAAGACTTTACAAAATACTTCTGAGTAAGCAGCTGCTTATGGCAGCAAATACAACTGAAATCACTTCAGAGAGAGTAGATATTATGGACTGTAGATACTGAAAACAACACTATTAAAATATTTCAGGCAACATTTTGCTTCATATATTTCATACCCACACATATAACAAGCTCTTATTCTTATCATCTTTACAGGTGTATAGAGCTCAGCAGCTTTACTTGATAAGTCTTAGTTCGCTCCATTCACTCCTTAATGTCCGGTCTTCTCTCTCCACTCAATCTTCCCATGCAGTGTATAATTTTTTCCATACTTGTAATTGCTCTTAATGATTACCCAGCTGAGGACATGATTTTCTCCAGCTCAGGCAATTAGAGAATTCATTGCAAGGAGACAAAACAAAGGGGTGGCTAGAGATGTACCTTATGGAGTAAATAGTGCAGTACAAAGCTCCTATCCTGCTCCACTTGAAGTCAAGGGAAAGTTACCCCAATTTCAGATTGAAGTGTTGCTACATTTCAACAACATGCATGCGACTGAAGAACTGTGTAGTAAGCTTGACAACCTCTCCTTCCCAAAGTTCACTGTAGCATCCCTGCCCCCTCCTCCCCACAAAGTTCATTACATTATCCATTAGTCTGCTTCAAAAAACACACACTTGGAAGTTTAATTGCCCCAAATGCAACCAGATTGCCTCCTCTCACTAGGGCTTCAGGAAAGTGACCCTGCTTGTCTGGGGGCTTACTGAAGTTCTGTACAGATTTTCAAGAGTCTACTCTACTAAGTACAGAAGGGGGCGGAGGGGGAAATAATTCACAATCACTGCTTTTTTCTCAAGAACCAGATTGCAAAGCCTGGGGAAATGTTTCCTCCTGCAACTGAGGACTGTAGGGCATTTCCTAAGGGGAACATCATAGACCCAGTGTCCCAAAGTTTTTTTGGAAGGGTGCGGGGGGTGCTCTAAAAAGAAAACACTACATTAGGGCTAGCAAGACCATTGGATATTGTTACTCATATACCCAGTGTAGTAGGCACAGAGTTAATGAGCTCCCTCAATTTTTTTGTGTTCTCTTACAGCCTCTTGTTATTACCTGCACTCCTTGGGGCAAGCTCTCTCCTGGTAGTTTCTTAGCATACTTTGCACTGTGCAAACCAACCCCTATACCCAGACCACCCAATTGTCTCTAATCATAAACACAGTCTCTGGTGCACTCACAGTTTCTGGTTAGCTCCCAGGAGAAAAGCACTCTAGGCAGCATCCTCAGGCACCAATTCACTGACCCACCAGCTCTCTCCCTCTTGGCTCTCAGCTTCTAACCTTTAGGCTCTCAGATTTCTGCTGGTCTCAGCTCTCTGGCTCTCAGCCCTCCACTCTTGACTGTCTGCCTGCCTGTCTTAGGCTTTCCTCCCTAGAAGCCTGACTCTCAAACCCCTATGGGTAGTCTGTAGAAGCTGCTCTTCTTGGCTCCCCTTGCTAGGAGCTTTTTCTCTTCCTGCCAGCTAATTATCTAAGGCACCTGGCCCCATTGTCTCGGCAGCCTGCAATCACTCCTACTACCTACAGCTGGGCTACAGCCCTTGCAAGCCTGCAGACTGCAGCCAGGACAACTGAAAAATGGTAACTAATAAAACCAACTGTGGGAGCTTGACAAAATTAGCGTTCCTGGACCTATCTGCCCTATGTATGTGTCTGTGGGGCTCCCAGCAGCATACCTCACACTTTGTAACAGACTATCTGAACCAGTTTTCTACCATGTACACCTGGTTCCAAACCATTACTCCAGGGACCAGAATTATTAGCAGTTGACCTTAAGACATGAGAACAGAGAAACACTCTCTGCTTCTTTATAGGCCATCAAATGCATCCACAATTTCTGGGAGTTGGCATCTGTGAGCTGGACTTGTGGGTTTCTGGTCCTGCAGCCTGTATTGAGCAAAGGCAGTATAGGTATTTTTCACAATCTACATTTTCACATGGATCTGGTTTTCCCAGACAAGTCCAAAAGCAGTGATGCTACATATTAACATTTCTGGTTTGCCGATGTACATGCACCGCTACAGCCTGGGGACCGACTGACTAAGCCACAGCTCTGCAGAAAAGGACCTGGGGGTTACAGTGGGCAATAAGATGCATACAAGTCAGCAGTGTGGCCCTGTTGTCAAGAAGGTTAATAGCATATTGGGCTATATTAGTAGGAGCGTTGCAGCTCATCAAGGAAATTATTCTATTCTAGCGAGGCCATGTCTGGAGTACTGTGTCCAGGTTTGGGCCCCTCACTATAGAAAGAGGACAAGTTGGAAAGAGTCCAGCAGATGGCAACAAAAAGGGTTCACAGGCTAGGGCACATGACCTGTGAGGAGAGGCTGTGGGAACTGGGTTTATTTAAATTTGCAGCAGAACAGACAAAGGGGATTTGAGAGTAGTCTTTAACAGCCTGCACCTGCTAAAGGGGGAGGGGGAGGGGGAGGGTCAGGGTCCAAAGAGGATGGAGCTGGACTGTTCTCAGTGGTGCCAATGACAGAACAAGGAGCAATGCTCTCAAGTTGCAGCAGGAGAGGTTTGAGGTTAGATACTAGGAAATACTCTCTCACTAGGAACGTAGTAAAGCACTGATGTGGGTATGGCCAATGGGTCTGTGCCCTGCTCTGAGGCCCCACACCCAGCCCTGAGCCTGTCCCCAGCAGGGCTCAAGGCAATCACGTGCCCCTAGGGCACTAATGGGACTTCCAAAAGCCAACCCTCACAGTCCCTTCCACAGCCACTAGTACAAACTCTAACCAAAAAGATAATCCTCCAGGCTATAACACAAATTAGCTCAACTGGGTTCAAACCTAAGCCTAGCCTATGGGCTGTTTTCCCACTGTAAACCAGCTGTTCCCCAAGCCCTCCACTGTGGTTTCTAAGTCAGACACTTTATCCCCCTGCAGCTCCCAGGGCCAGACTTCCTGCCCTGACTCTGGCCCTGGTTTATATTACTCCAAGGCCCTAGCCCTTTCTGGTCAGGTGACCCCAGAGGGTTGGCTGCAGGTGCCCTCTATTGTGGCTCACTCCCTGGTCTCCAGGGCAGCCCACCTGTAGCCATGCCTAGTCTCCCCTGCAGGGCTCTAGCCTGCAGCCCTACTTTGGAGCAACTAGCACTGCAATAAACTGCTAATGCAGGCATTGTCCTATTGTGCTGGCACAGAGCAACTGGCTGTGCAGTAAGCATTCCTAGTTCTCGATTCCCTAGGCCAGCTCTGCTGCAGCTTTCTCCCTTGCAATCTCTCCCAACCTGGGGCTCTCCCTGGACCCTTTCTCCCATAAGGTAGCAGAGTCCGAGACTCTGTTACATATGGCTGGAAAGCACTTTTTGCATGCCTACCGTGCAATAAGTGTAACTTCCATATTTGGTCTATCAGGTGTTCAAATATAAAGGTCTTACAAGTAGACAGGCAAGCTGAACCTCCCCTCTTAGACCGGTAGTCAGTCTACAGCTTCCTCACTGATGTATGTGTTAGGATCAGTTGGTGAATCCACGTATAGCACAACCCCATTAGTGATACCCAAACCAGTCATCTATTCAAGCTAAAGTGGAGCACAGCTCATAGTCTACCCTGGTAACCCAGAGCTGTTACACATGGGCACCAACAACTTAAATTGAGAGGTTTTCCATTCTTGCAACTAAGTCACTTCAAGAAAATACTTAACATTAGTTTCATTAGAAAGCTAATAGTGTACACCATCGGAAGCCAGTTAGCATTCAACACCACAAGAAAGGAAGCTCTCTCAGTAGTGAGCCATAATACCAAGCAGCTAAACTTTTTCCTTATCATTTCTCTTGGCAAAATGGGACAGTGAAAATCTTTGAAAGGAAAATAATCCCCAGCCCAAAACTCCAAAAATTGGTGCAATTTTCTGACACAGTATTCTGGAATACAGAAAGCAGTCCCTTAGATCCATTCAAGGTAAGTGAATAATTTATTCTACCCCTTGACTTCTGAGTATGGTTTGCATAAAATGCCAAATCAACTCCCTTGAATCTAAAATAGAAATGTTGTACTTTATGCAGGAAAACAGATTCTCATTTCATTTTCTGTGTATCCAATAACAAAAGACATCTGATGTCACAGATGCAGTGTTTCTAGCTACACTCATGGAGAAAAACAATAGAATTGTTTTCTTTGATACTCAAAAACTTTCAAAACAAGCAACATTAGGGAAATCAAATAATCAGCTCCCAGTTTCTTGAGAGTATTCTAATATATCCCTTATAATGTATCATATTATCAGGGCATTAGAATCTAAAACCATTATGCAAGGTAAGTAGTAGTTAATTCATATTGAAGGTCTCCTTTCAAAGTAAGGCACCACTTACTGTGAAAAAGCATGCCAGAAACACATTTATTTGTAATATTTTACACTGCTTAAGTTAAATTGTCTTGTCCAACTTCTATTTCCAACATGAATACTGGTATATGATTATAATCCTGCAACTTAAAAGGCTGAAGATAGGTATTTAATTTCCTATCTAATGAAGGTGTGGCCCAAGCCAAGGCCTAGTGAACTGAGGGAGTGGACTCCCAAAGGTTTGGATAGTGAACTTAATGAAAAATGGGCCTCAAGAGCATGCAACACCAATGTGCACTCATCAAAATTCATGGAAACCATCTTTATGTGGCACCTATGAAGAATCAGGCAATGGTTTATTTTTTATTTTTTATCTAAAAAAAATATGAACTAGCTTAACTTGGATGTTATCTAAGAAAATATTGCGATCTGGAGTTTAGATGCAGTTCCATAATCAGCGCAGCTAAGACTCACTGGGTGGCCATAAGAAATGATTCATTCTATCGGTTTCAGTTTCTAAGATCAACCTCTATCACAGTGGTTTCATGAGATCTAAAAATAGGATAGGAAAAAAAAAATTCCGTTATCAACCTTCTTCAATAAATTTTCTTCAAACAAAAAGCCAAAATTGACAATCTGTTGACAGTGCTGAGGGAGGGTGCTGAGGGAGCTGGCTGATGTGATTGCCAAACTTGTGGCAACTGGGAGAGGTACTGAATAATTGCAAAGTGGGAAATACAGTGCCTATCTTTAAGAAAGTGAGGAAGGAGGATCCAGGAAACTACAGGCCAGTCAGCCTCACCTCAGGCCCTGGAAAAATCATGAACAGGTCCTCAAGGAATCATTTCTAAGCACCTGGAGGAGAAGGTGATTAGGAACAGTCCACATGGATTCACCAAGGGCAAGTCATGCCTGACCAACCTGATTGCCTTCTACGATGAGATGACTGGCTCTGTGGATGCTGGGAGAGAGTTTGACGGGTTATACTTTGATTTTAGCAAGGCTTCTGATATGGTCTCACACAATGTTCTTGCAAGAAAGTTAAGGAAGTATGGGTTGGATGAATGGACTGTAAGAATGGATAGAAAACTGGCTGGAACAGCAGGCTCAGATGGTAATAATCAATGGCTCAATGTCCATTTGGTAGCCAGTGTCAAGTGGAGTGCCCCAGGGGTTGGTCCTGGGGATGGTTATGTTCCATATCTTCAGCAACAATCTGGAATATGGGATGGCATGCACCCTCAGAAAAGTTGCAGGTGACACCAAACTGGGGCGAGTAATAGACAGGGTAGGGCTAGGATTCAAAGAGACATCAACAAATTAGAGGATTGGACCAAAAGAAATCTCATGAGCTTCAATAAGGACAAGTGCAAAGCCCTGCATTTAGGATGGAACAATCTCATGCACTGGTGCAGGCTGGGGGATGACTGACTAAGCAGCAGCTTTGCAAAAAAGGACGTGGGGGTTACAGTGGACAATAAGCTGAATATGAGCCACCAGTGTGCCCTTGTTGCCAAGAAGGCTAATGGCATACTAGGCTGCATTGGTAGGTGTATTGTCAGCAGGCCAAGGGAAGTGATTTTCCCCCCTCTATTTGTCACTGGTGAGGCCACATCTGCTGTACTGTGTCCAGTTTGATCCCACCACTACAGAATGGATGTGGACAAGTTGGAGAGAGTCTAGTGGAGTGCAATGAAAATGGTTAAGGGGATGAGGGACATGACTTATGAGGAAAGGCTGAGGGAACTGAGTTTATTTAGTTTGGAGAAGAGAAGACTGAAGGGATTTAATAACAGCCTTCTACTGTCTGATAAGGCTGTGCAAAGCTTAGGGTGGTGATTCGATTTGGAGGAGATTCGGCCTGATTTGATGGCCGAATCTCTGAGTCTGAATTGAATCAGGGGATGAATTTAAAGGTCCAAATCAATTCAAAGCTCTCTGAATCTTTGGAAAAGATTTGGAGAGCTTTGATGATTC